CCACCCTGCAGGGCTTATCGGCTTCATCGCGGCATACTTTCGTGGCGAAACAGCGCGCTACGGCCGAAAAACGGCAGCTGATCAAAGTACTAACGAGTGCCGAGGCTATCCTGGAAAATTTTGAAACCTCTATCTACCAATTCATAGCACAACAGGGGTTCGCCATTCCACACTCTCACATCTTCTCGTAGGTTAATTTATAATCACATATTTTGCACATTTTCCAATACTCTTCCTTTTCCGAATCGTATGATTCGTCGCCATAAACATGGTCGTGTGCTCTACCAGGACCACTTCTTGCCATCCTTGGTCCACGTACCTGTAAGCAATCCACTGCCAAGTACGACTCACTTTCTTAGGCCAGTAAGCTTTAAGTAACTGACGAGGTCCAATTATAACTGACGAGGTACAATTTGTAATTGACGAGGTCCAATTGTGGTAATGGTAAGAAATGTGTACTTCCAATGCAACCGTCACACTGACGAGTTCCAGTTGCAGCACTGAATAGGAATATATGCGACCTGATGGACCGAAACATTTCCATTCAGATTTTAATCTTAACTTATTCACATTTCCTTTTTTATTTCCTTACGTCTTATATAAACACAGATTTAAATTAGAATACGACTCTTAATGGACACCGAAACATTTCTTACCATTAAAAATAATTCTTAATACATTTGAAATTTTATTAATTTCTCTTTTCAACGCTAAAATACTTTATTATTTAAAATAAAATGCACCAAGTAGGGGGCTGATTCTACATCCAGGAAGGTCAACCCCCCTCCCCCCGTTTTCCCACGTATTTAATTTTTGTTGGCAGAGAGAACTCTCTGAACTGTCTTGACTGCAATCTGTGAAAACAGCCATCTTCTATTAGGAAGGCTATAACAAAGGTGTTAGCTCCTTCCTCGGTAGGTCATCGGCCAACTTCAGCTACTTGAGCATCTCGAGATGTGGCTTGATTTGGGAGTTGAAAAAACGCATGCTCATACGCTTGTCGCTGCACTGGCGCCGGAGCTTGCTTGGTTGCCAAGTTGAAATACCCGGACAGACGCACACATATACACACACAAACATATACACACACAAACATATACACACACAAACATATACACACACACAATCATATACACACACAAACATATACACACACAAACATATACACACACAAACATATACACACACAAACA